TTAGATTAATTCTAAGGCATAGTTAGAATTCGCCACTCAACCATTTACTATTGGGTTCTAATTAACAGTGCAGTTTCTAAAGTGATGCTGGGAAACAGTGACAACGTCTACACAGAATACGAGGCTAATAACCGTTGCAGTTGATGCCGATAACACAGAATAAAAAAAAACTTAATTTAGTTAAGATATAGATAATAATCAATATATTTAAAAAAAATTGAACCCCATTTATCTCATTTTGGAAATGCTAACGTATATGAATTTTTTATTTAATTTGCGATGCCCACAGATATGAAACATTGTTAATCTACCTCTCTTAGGGTCGCGCCGTCCATATGGGCCACAGTACAAAGGCGATACAGTGGTCTAGTCTAGTTACTAGGGACAAGAGTGTGACGTCACAGAATGAAAAATCGAGATAACAAAATATTCTAAGGTAGTTCGTATATTAGTTTTTAAAAAATATATATATATTTTATTAATTTTTAGTAGTGTTCATATTTTGATTTTTAGAGTATTTTCCAGTATTTTTCAGAGTTTTTAAAATATCGATAGTTTGATTTTTTAAAGGAAAAACCATGTAATGATTTCTACAAAATTTCAAATGAACTATTTTTACTTGAATTATAATGAGAAATTTATTTTATACATTTTGAGTTAGGGCGGCCTCCAAGCCGAATTCGGACCACACTTTGTTTATGCCCCGAAATATTTTGAAAGTTTAGTTTTCCTGGAGCGAGTTATAGTGTTGCTATTGGCAAACAAGTTTTAAACATAAAAATCATTAGAAGAAAGGGACAGAGCCTAAACTGAAATTATAGGCTAAGAGTAAGATTTTAGAATATTCTTTGTTTACCCTACATTTAAAAGCAGATGAGATGGTGTCTTATAAGCATTAAATACAACCAAGAGAATTTTTGTAAAATTTCGATCCCCAGCAACGGATTCTTAAGAGTATTTCTAAGGCAAAGATAACTCTTTTTGCACAAATATCGTAAATGCTTTAGAAATGTCTTCTGAACTCTCTTTAAAATGATTTGTAGCTCATTTTTGATTTTATTGCTTGTAAGAAACCATCTCATCTGCTTTTAAATGTAGGGCGGACAAAGCTGCAATTAATTTAATAATAGTGAATGATAATTGCAGAATAAAAGTCAAATACTAAACTTTGCTTTTGCTAAACATCGACCAATTTTGCCCATTCTGATAAGACGATAGATTGCCTAATTGGTGACTGCACGTTGCCGCGTGTCTATTTTACTCTAAAGTATGTTAACTTTTCCATTCTGATTTTAGGAGAACGGTATAGAAACACAAAGCTATTGAATTTGCGTGAGCGGAACGTCGCTACCACGACTTTAGAAACTTTAAAGTGTATTGCCAAAGTTTCTGCCACGTAATAGACACGGTTCTACCACGTGGCGGTAACCAAAATGGGGAACACTTTCTTGGTGGCAACCACGTTTCAGCTACGTTTCCGGAACTTATATAATCACGTTTACGCCACGTGACAGTATTTTTTATCAACCTTGGTTAATTAAAATCATTAAATATATTTGAATTTTATTGCATTGAAGCTATACGGACAAAAAAAAATGTTTAAATAGCCCCATTATATTGTCTCATAATGGCGATCTTAAAAATGGTTATAAATATGTCTGCTCCAGGAAAAAAAAACTTTAAAGTTGCAGAAACTAAAAATATGCCACTTTGTATTTAGTTTCATCAAATAAGTGGCAGCTGGAACTAATCCAAAATATTTTTCACCACTTTAAAGTTTCGGTTACGTGGCAGCCACCTAGTGTTTACCACCATAAAGTTAATTATTTACATTGTTGTCAGATCAGCCATTTCTCCACTTATTTCAGAGTTTTTGAGTTTTCAATAAGGCCAATGTTAAGGGGAAAATCAAATTTACTTATGAATTTAACAGTTTATTTTATCCCTTTTAATAAACGTTTTGAGTGCCGTTCTAAAAATAACTGAACACCCTGTACAAATATAGTGTACATTCAAGAAGATTATGGAAAAAATGTGTATACTACATCTTCTCAGGGAAATTGCGCTCTGATGATATCGCAACACTGTATTAGTTGTAATATTCCATATAACCTCAAATTTTAGAGTAGAGTTCGCCAGTTAAATTTGTTTATGTCACAGATCACTTAAATTTATGTATTTAATGTTTCATATTGTGTTTGTGTGCACATCTTTTATTTAGATATGAGTTTTAAAATTGTATCGAATCAAGAAAAGAGAGGTATTTGTTTCTGCATTGTTCCCGACATGTGGTACCATTCATGTTGTGTTTAATTTGTCTATAAAAAGTTGTCGATTGTCGAAAAGTAATCTTTTTGCAAAACTTCTTGTTGTTTTCCATTTTACACACAAATGTACTCTAGATAAGTCTAAAAACAAAGTAATTTGCGCAGAGATCGACGGCACTTTGGTAGTTTTTCTTTATTGTAAAGGCGGACAATGTAGAAAGCAGGCCACTAATAGGCAACGGTTACTTCATTGTGAATTTTGAAGGTAATAGTAACTTTGAAGTGGCTTTTGTTCCACGCAATATGTGGAAATCACTTAAGAGCGTGGCAAAAATATGGCAAGAACTACTGCAGTTATACAATCAAGTGCCGCCACTTTAAAGATATATTTATGGTTCCCGAAACGTTACTAAAACTATCAAACCCACTTTAAGATTACTGCCACTTCTAGGTGGTATTTAAGTAATATGATTTGGTGGCTGTAACTACTATTTTCCACATTGAAGTTTGTGCAACTTTAAAGTGATCCCGCTTAGTGGCTATAACGTTTCAGACACCTTCACCTGCATAGTACAGTCGACAGCAACCGCACATTACGGTTCATCTATTTCCGCCGTTAGTCATAAGTTCAATAGTTTTAAAATTACAGTATATAGAAGACAAACCACACTATAGAGTAACTATGAATGGAGAAATGGGCTACAAGGTCACCATAAGACTTTAAAAATTTGTTGAATTAAATAACATTAAATTTATAATACAATAGTTTAAAATATTGTACAATTTAAATCAAATTATACGATACATTTTTCAACATCTATTAAATAAATACCTAATCGTTTATCACATACGATTTGTTAAAATTCTATTTAAACACAGTTATAACTTAAGTAATAACAATTTAGGTGAAATGAAACGTCAGACGATATTTGTCTATTAGGGCAGAATCAAAGTAAATCAAGATTATTTAGCAAATATTTGATTTAAGGTTTATCAATCTGCCTATATGAATTTAATGGGATATCCCAAAACTTATCTGGTAAATTGATTAAATGCGCTCTTTCGCAAACTGCAAATATTATTGCTTCATGTATACCTAAATAGGTTTTAGAACTAGATAGGTACCGGGTGTCCAAATATGAAAGAATTATTTTTTTGCACATTTTAGTAAATTTCGATTTCGATCATTTGTACTTTTGATCATATCATCTGATTTTTATTATTTATAATCTCGGTAGTATGCGATTTCGATTATTTGTTTTTTGGTTTCGAACTTGTCTCACTTTCGACCTTTTCAATTTCAAACAGTTTTTGTTTCGAAGTTTTGTTATTCGAACTTTTGCTTTTTCAAAATTTTGTCAAACGAACTTTGCATTCGAATTTTTATAGTTCTATTGTTTTTTCCTTGTTGTATTTCTTTCCTTAGTTACTTAAGGTCTTCTCTCTAGAGGAATTGTGTAAATGACACATAACGACAAACAGACTCTTGTTCTTGAAATTTTGTCATTTGAAATTTTCTGGTTCGAGCTTTTATTATTTGAACTTATTTCAACTCGTTTGAGACTATGGTTAAGACAAGGAACTCTTTTTGAGTAGTTTTTGTTTCCTGTTTGTATTATATCCCTATATATTTTGGGTATACAGTGCTGGAAAAATTAAAACCTTCTGTCTCACTTCGCTTATATTGGAGTGAATAGTAAATGGTGTTCGCATGTGTTGAAGAGCAAATGATGTGCTATCGACGTTGCCAGTTACCTACCGATCGGAAGCAGGTTACTGATCCGTTACTCTATGAATGACACCATTGATAATGTATTGTTTCTTTTTTTGCATGTGCGAGCGCCATTTAATATTCACTTCACACAAGCAAAGCGGTAATAAAGGTTTGATCTTGTCAGTACTCTACATACATACCTAGTATTGTTACTCGTATTTAAACTATGAGTATTGGAATCAAAACATTGTTTTACATGGAACTACTATAGAGTGTGACAATTTAAAAACTTACAATGAGCTATATCTCACAAATTAAAGATGATATCAAAAAATGCTTAAAACTGTTTCTAGGATAAAAATGGAGAACTAAAATGACATAGAAGAATACTCACTTCCATCAACTCGCTAGGTCCCACCTACCCCAACTAAAATAGTTTAAATAGCAAACCCCTACTTGTGATATATCATTGAAAAGCCTATAAAATACTATCTAATAGTATAAATAATAATTGTACCAATATAAACAATTAGCAAATTAATATCTAAAAATTTTAAAAACAAACATACCCTACTTGTACAATACAATTTTAAAGAGCTCTAAAGGCCAATAAAATCTAATTTTCAATGATAAGTATCCGTAGGTATTTATGTTGTTAAATAAAATCTTTAATATATAGCCCATTGTAAGATTTTAAATTGTCACACCGTATAATTCACTTTTGAAGTATCCTAAAAAGTATCCTTTAAACTATCCGAAAAAGTATTCGAAAAAAGTAATCGGTACTTGTATCCGAACACATTTTTAGGTGAATGTACGCGTACTTTTTAAAAGTATCCGGATACATTGTAACTATCCGTATCCGGTACTGTATCCAACCTAACTCTGCTATAAAGACATATTTTTAATTTGTTTTATTATTCGTTTAATTTACAAATATTTTTTTTCCAATTGCATTTAAGTAATTAGTTATTTTAATTATAATAAAATTGTATGTAAATTTTTTAAATTTTTTCTAGATGAAGAGTTTTTAACAAATATGTATATATCAGCATTCTTAGATGACCATCGTAAAATCCGTTTGAACATAACTTGGGATAATTTTTCAGGTACGTAAATTTAGGTATTATTCCTATTAAACATTTAGATTCCATTTTTTTTAATACAACCATATTTAGCTATTTTCTTTATCGATATATCCAAACGACAATTTTTTATTTTTTTATATATTTTTTTATGTAAACCACTTAGGTATTACGTTTTAAATATCAGATTTAAAGATCAACAAAAGAAAACTTACCTAATCTAATCTACTTAACTTCAGGTATCCATTCAATGTTTGATAGTTTGATAGGTTTACATTTCAATTTTGATAGTAAAACATATTGTAATTTATATAAACTTCTATATATAAGGTAGTAAAGGCAAATATGGCCTACCTTATTGTTTTTTTTTTTTTTTTCATGGAACTAGAATATTTGAATAAACATTTTTTTCCACAACATAATAGGTAAGTATGTGGCCGATATACTTATATAATTTAGTCTGGTCAGAAATGATTCATAATAGATGTTATATTATAAAAATTATTTGTCCTTCACTGAGCCATATTTAAACTGAGGAAGATTGATCTGGTTTTCACAAAATTAAGAACAAAAAATATTAAACTAGTCAGAAACATAAACAAAGATAACAAAAACTAACAAAATTTAATGAACACACTAAAAAATGCAAAATTAAAGCAACATTTAATTACAAAAATTAAAAAAAAAATAAACCAAATTAATATTTTTATGCCCAAAAATATAAAATTATGAAAACAAAAAGTCAACAGCACTCTTCATCGTCAGACTCGAGGCCAACACATGCCTCATGGTACCAAGTATGACATTTTGCACACATTCGCATATCAAGTTGGTCGTCTTTTTCACAGGCTGCACATAACCATGACTCCTGTTTAGTTTGTTTAGATGTCGACTGTGGGATTGTGCTTTTCTGTTTGGAAGTTGATGGAACTGAAAGTTTCGGAGCTAAAGAATACATAGCTGATGGGTGATGTCTCTCAGAGAAAAGGTTTTTGTAACTTTCTGAGCTTTGTAATTCAAAGCTTTTCGCCTAATTCTTTTCGCTTCATTATTCTTTCCATCGGTAGGAGTTGGAAGCATTTGCTGAAACGACTTATTCATTATATCTGGAGAAGATTGTTGAGGAACTGGATTAATATTTCTAGCTAAAGCTGCCAATGGAACATTATCGTCAGAAGAAATCTTACTGTGTGCAGTTGAAATACTTTCGTGTGTCCATTCGATGCCTTCATTGTTGTTTTCAATAATTTAATCAGGCATGGCTCGCTCCGTTACTAAAGAAGGTGCAAAATCTGCAGCAGGTATTGCGTCAGGATTAAAAGGAAATAGTTCTGTACCTCTAATGCTGCTTATAATATTTTCTGGTGTCATACATTTGAGCCAAACACGGAAAAAAATATGTTGAATCTGGCCTTGTTTAGGCTTCGTTGAGGGTAGGTATATCAATACCTTAAGAGCTCCTGGTCCCAATTTGCTTCAAAAGAGCGAAATACAGCCTTATCCCTCGTGTGTTGTATTTGATGGCAAACAGAATAATGTGATACCGAGAGACTCAGCTGTTTCAGCAATAGTGAAATCCAAGTGGCTGGAAGCTTCATCAAAAACAAGAAGTGTAGGTCCGATTGATTTATACAGAGCGAAATGTCTTAAAAATTTAATTGAAGAGTTGCGTCGTCATAGACCCTTTTGGTGCCATTTTTACAAAGGATCCGAGGTAAATTGTCGCCAAATTCTGGTATAAGACGTTTTCCTCGAAACAATATCATAGATAGAATAGAGTTGCCAATAGCGTTACAACAAGCCACAACCGTGACATTTTCAATATGCTCAGGCGCAACCATATGAACCCGTCGTAATCCCTTCTCAGACATAACGCGTTGTTGATGGTGTATGGTGAGGCGGCAGCCTTTTTCGTCCATATTATATATATTTTGAGGTTTATCTTCAATGTTCATTGTTGCCATAAGTTCGGATATCTTGGTGAAGTAGTCAGATACGATTGCATTGTTCAGTTTTTGAGCGCGTGCAGGATTCATAGGTTGCGCCTTTCGTACAGATAAATCGGCATGTCTCTTTAGGAACAAAAACAACCAGTCCTTCCCAGCAAGCTGCTTTTCCTTATAAAAATTATTGGGAATGTTGTTTATATCACAATATCGAAACATTCGATGTCGGACAAGTTTGAGAGTAAGAGATAAACCAATTTGACAGTATCGCTTAATCTGCTGCACAAAATCTCTCTCCTGCTGATGACTCAATATGCTTGGACGACCCAATTTCTTTTCTGACGAGTCCTGAACTAAATATCGTCGTAAAGTGCGCCTAGGTATTTTAAATCTAGAACAAATATTTCGATGAGATTCTCTGTTTCTGGCAGCCCCTATGGCCTCTTTAAGTTGGTCTTGAGACCACCGCTTCCGTAAATTTTTGCATACTTTTCCCATCTCAAACCTAAAACCAAGAAAAAAAATTTAAATTGTTTTAATTAAGTATAGGGTAATATGGCCCAATGCCCTATGCCCAATGCCCAATGCCATATTAATCAAAAAGATATCCAGATAACAATAATGGGTAAAAAATACGATAGATTTTTATTAGCGAATAAATAGAGATACTTAACAACATACACTTACCTCTCTTAATTGTGCTGACCGTTCACTTTAGTTCTTAGCATAAAAACGTAGTCAACAAATTAGCCTAACATTTATAATAGTACACGTCTAATCCGGCAGTCAAAATGCAACTAGGTATTGCATGCAAAATCGTGGCGCCTAATAATTCTTTTTTTTATTTTTGATTTTTGATTTTTGAGTTATTTTTTCATGCAAGCCTTTTTAACCATAGAATGTTATTAATGTGTTAGACGTAATCATAAAATTGGCATGAGTATCGGATGTGGACGAAACGAAGGCTTGCGTCGGAAAGTTGCAGGAAAATTGTATGGAAAATGCCACCATTTTCCCACGCTAGCCGTTTGACATATGCTTAGAAAAAGTGATTCTAAGACTATATAACAAAAGGCTTGAGTGTCGGACATGGTCTTCATATTATTTATACATAATTTATTTAACAAAATGATGACAAGAAAATCTATAAATATCCACCATTTTCTCACACAAGCCGTTTGGCATATGCTTGGAATTATTTATAATTCGCCATATAAAAAAAATAGAACTAAAAAACCTAAATATCAAAACCTAAATATCACCCTAAATCATCAAAATATCGATTCTCAAGGTTATTTTATATTAATTTTATTATAAGAGTTAACGCCCTTTTATATGATTGTAAAAATTCAAATATTTTATTTGATTAACTAAATAAATGTACCTATATCATAGTACTTACCAATTATTTAATTTGAAGAAAAATAACTAATGTAATAACACAACAACCTGTAACTTCAACTTTAACCAAAAAAATAACGCACAATAATTATTTAATCCAATTACTTGTATAATTTGAAATAATGTCACATAATATCATAGGAACATCAACATTTTCTAATCGACTTCAAGAAAATCATTTTGATCTGTCAAAAGATTTATCTCACGACATTCTTGATTGCTTTAATATCTTACACAAATGCAAATTAAAATGGTTTCACGAAGTGTCTATTCCATAGAATACTTGATTGTCATCATTAAATTCTAGGATATCTACTTTTTCATGTTTAGTAGCTGCATTTTTATTTTATACATACATTAATTTTATAAAAATTCAAAAATGGACCAACATATCTTTGTAACGAATCTATTAATAGGGCCAAGTCTTTTCACCTCTGAGTAAAGTTGAAAGTAACTACTTGCTGATTAAACTATAGGAATAATGTTTGTTAATCTGTCAAGTAAACCTACATGTAACTTTACTCAGAGGTTAAAAGATCGACCCTTAACAGGTACTTTAAAGTTTATATTTAATAGCCCTTTGAAAGAATATATAAATTTTTGTATAAAATAAACATATTGTTAATTCAGCATTAAATTCATATTAAAATTTACTAGACGAATAATCACCGAACAATAAATAATAATAACTCTGCATAAATATTTATTTGTAAATTGTTTTGTCAGTTCTTTTTTAGATAAATAATATGCTCCATGTCCGATACTCAAGCCTTTTGTTATATAGTCTTAGAATCACTTTTTCTAAGCATTATGTCAAACGGCTTGTGTGTGAAAATTGTGGCAATTTGCATACATTTTTCCAGCAACTTTCCTACGTTCTGAAAATATGAAGACCACGCTCTGCACTCAAGCCATTATTTTTTTCTGGTCTCTACAATTCATAAGGTTTTATTGCAAAAAATTTCGTTGATGAGAAAATAACTGAAAAATAGAAAAAAAAATCTGTTAAATTTTCCAACCTCAAAATGAACTTCGCGCCACTCAAGCCAATATGTTTTTCGGGCTAGTTATGATATATGTTTTCATACTCTCGATTAGCTTGTGTGGAAAAATCGGTTAAAATATCGATTTTTCTTTGCAAGATTACGCCCTTATTTCAACCCTTTAGCCACTTGCAACATTAAAGCCTTTGGTTTTTCGAAGCCTAGATCTATTAATTAATCATATAGTGAAAACGGCTTACGTGTAAATATGAGCAAAAAAACACCTTTTATTTCTGTTAAGGAAAATCGAATTTTGCATATGTTATCCCCAGGTGCCACTCGTAAATTTCCTTTCATTCTACTTAAATTCGATGTACTTTTTAACCCTCTTCGAGGCTCGTATGCGAAAATGGGGCACCTAAATCAGTCACTATCTGATGGTCTATTACATCTTGAACGCCTGGTGGGGAGAACCGAGCTCAGCGACCCTTTCGGCAGTGATTCCGCTCAGCGTTGCCAGTATCAGTGCTAAAGTACTGAAATCAGTGCTTTTTGGCCATTATCAGTACCTCAGTGCTACTTTTTATACTTCAGTATTTTTTTCTGTTCAAGGCAAGTAGTTTGGGGTAAAGTTAAAAAAAAATCATTGGTCTGTTTTTACTCTCAGTTAAAGAACTTACTCTGCTTTGCTCCTCTATAAATATCATGATCCATTGTTGTTTATAATTTACAACATCATCTGTGTTCAATCTGCTTGACTCACAGAATTTAGAGATATGCCTACTATATTATAGATGTAAGAATAGTAATTAAGAGAGTCAGAAACACGAAAATATAGCGAATTCAAAACCTAGTGTTGGGTACAATATATCACCTGTAGTAATGTTACTGGGAATACTGGGATATAAGAAATTTATTTAAGTTACGCCCAAGCCAGTCACGAAGGTTGGCTTCTGGAGTTAGATTGTACAATTTTCGACAATGACAACTGATTTGTGCATTTTGTGATTAATTCCATGTTTCGTAATCGTTAAATAGGAGCAACTGTCTGTCAACTGTCAGTACTTTCTATTTTGAGTTAATACCATTTTCAGTATCACTGCCACATACTTTGATTTTCTTTTACTATACGGAGAATGGTCGCACTGCCTTTTAAAAGGAGATAGAAAACTCCGCCATTTTGAACCCTTATTACGTGTTGCCTACATCTTGGCGCAATATTTTTAATAGGTGCGTTTTAATCATCCGCTTCTGCTTCGGAATTGTCGGTTTTCTTGTTTTAATCTGACAGGTTAAAACGACTAAACCGACAATTCCGGAAGCAGAAGCAGATGATTAAAACGCACTTGATATTTTGCTTGCTGCTGTCAGTGTCAGTGAATATTATTTTTGGAGTCACAGTTTATTGCTAAAGAATTAGCTCACACGGACCAGTTGAAAGTTCCAAAATAACATCCACTCCAGGGATACAAATTCAGGATATGCAGAAGACTGATGTTTTATTATAGGCGGTTGTCATATATTGTATTATCCGAGTTGCGCAGTGTATAAACTGGAACATTGAGATCAAAAGTGCCGACGCAGAGTGAACGATCTGATTCTTTAGCTATAAACTGTGGCATAGGAATCAAAATGGCCGCGCCCTATGTTGGGCGTGTCGGACCTCTCTCTTGCACCGTATAGTAATCAAAGTATGTGATCACTGTAGTACTTTTAACGCTGGAATCACTGTCATCGCTGATTCCGCTCCTGTCCGCTGTTTTCCCTGGTGAATGATGCGTTCTCTTAAACGCATTTTCTCCGTGTTATTAATAGAGAGTTAAAGCAATGCCAGAAACGTATACGTAAACGTATCTAATGTCAGCTACGCATGCGCAATAACTATTTTTCCAACGTATCTATTTACGTCTTACGTAAATGTACGTGTTCTAACGTACGCCTAATACGCATTCGTATCGAACCGAGCAAATGCTTCGGGAGCATCCGATCGTACCCGATTTAATAAAACTAATGACAGATTGTTCTGTTTTTTAAATTTTGAGCCAAATACGAAACGAGTTTCATATATAATATACACATCACATTTATTCCTAGAAAGTTCATTGAAAAAAATGAATTAGTAAAAATTACTGGACATTGATAATCGATAATTTGTTATTATTATATCTGGCATGCGAAGAGCTCTAACAAGCCTAATTATGTCGATTAGGGCCGATTCCACCGTTGTGTTAAACGGAGATTAAAATGACATTGAATGTAAAAATGTCATTTTAAACTTCGTTTAACACAACGGTGGAATCAGTCCTTATTAAAATTGAATCTTCCATATAAAACATAATTATTTTCCAAATTTTCTTTAAATAGAATTTGTAATATACAGGATTATCTAAATCTGCATCACCATTTAAAGCCTTTAAATTCATAATTTACTCAATTTAACTATCAAAATTTTTATCAAAAAGTACCTAAGGTTATAAAGTTGTAGATACGTTTACATCAGTGCTTTTACTTTAACTGTTGTTTTCTTCCAAATTGCTCGTTTAACGTATCGTCAATTTCTACGTTTACGTCAGAGAGATACGCATACGTATCTCGGGTTGCTTTAACTCTCTAATATGTAAATGCGAGTAACGTAATCGTGTTCTTCCCCTTCATTTGAAGAAAACGTAATAAATGTTTTCGCAAATCTGCACACTAGAAGGATTGAGAAGGATTGAGAAGGATTGATCTTAATTTTAAAATTTAAAATTCTACGTATACTCGTACGTTTACATTTTCGTCTTTTTTACGTAAACTGTCCTACTTTAATTTAGTTCACTCTTTTTTTTATTATTTTAATTATTTTTTTAACCTGACACATTTTTTTGTATACTTTATTTGTAAAACCAAAAAAACTTTGTTTTTATAAAATGTTAATCCCACTTCTCATTACAACTCCTTGTATCGACACCACACTACTCCACTCGACCATACCCATCAAACATTGATCAATTACTATTGAAATTAAATAAAATACGTCATTAAATGTTAATCTTAAACCAAAATATGCCATATCAATAGGTACATAGCTAAATATGATTGATTTCGATTCATTATAAATAAGGAATATCAAAATATCCATATTATAAAGATATTTTAGTAGAATATTGCCACTAAATAGCGCAAGACAATATAGCGGGGAACGAAATTGAGTAAAAGAAACAGCGCAGGAAAAAATAACGCATTCACAAAAAGCGCTCAGATAAAATACCGCCGAAAAAAAATGGCATTAGGACGTAATAGCCTGATGATAAAATAGCGAGGGTTTAAAATAGCGATGGGTCAAAATATCCCAGGAAAAATTAGCACAAGTTAAGTAAATTAGGTTTTTAATTTTTCTTATCTTATAATTAACCTATGCCATCGCGGGTTGCTGTGCGAAAAAATTATATTTTATATCTAACCTGTGTTACCTGGAGCACCCCGCGACTGCACAGGTTGGGTGAATTAGTATTTAATTAAATAATATTAATAAATGATAAAAAAGCGCTGTTTGTCACTATATAGTGCTGATGTGTACAGCGCTATTTTTTCCTGTCTCTATTTTCTCTACTTATATTAGTGCCTACGCTGTTTCTTCTTCCGCTATTTTGTACCACAGGTATTTTGTTTTGCGCTATTTTATACCAGCGCTATTTTTTCTTATGCTATTTAGTCCTGGGCCATTTTACCCAGCGTATATTTAATGTGTATGTACAGCGCTATTTAGTAACAGTGCCATAATATTTACATTTACATTTTAGATAAAGTAGACCTAATTTCAGTCGATTCAATCGATTGTAATCCTATATATGGCGTTGATCGATTTCCGGTGAAAGAGGTGAGTAAAAAAGAAATAGTTCAGTTTTTATTTAACATTATTTCACTGTGTAAAATATTAATTAATATTTTTTCTACACCCACACGGATTATTAACTATTCTACGCATAGACTACATAACGGGAAAGTATGTCGTTGCATTCAACTGAACGAATATATTTCAAATCCATTCTACCTAGTAAGAAAACTGCACAAATATCAAATCCATCAATTACAGGTCATATTTTGGTTACCCGGCTAGTATTATTTTTAAAATTTTAAATAAGTGACAATTCTTTCAAGCTAATTGTCAGTATATTTTTTAGTTATTGAGATTAAATATACATTAAAATAAGTTATTTTTGTGTAGAATCAATAAATAATAACATTGGTACACATTTCGACAAAAGATTAAATTTTAATCAAACTATATGAAACTAATTTAATTGCGAGTATTAAAACTAAATTCCTAAAAGTGGCGGTGGGCGCGAAAAGCCGGGGTTAGAATCTGGGCTGGGGTCAGATTAAATTAAATCTTTTTTTTTTTCATTTTTATTTTATTTTATAATTTAGTAAATTTATAAATTTTTTTAAAATTAGTTATTTTGTCTTAATTAACCTAAAATATTTTTTAAATTTGTAGATTTTCGTTAGTGGGTCGTAGAAAAAATATACCGTACAACTCGAATGGATTATCTATATTTACTCTTATTACCAATCTACTATTTTCTACACCCACATGGATATTAGCTTATCTACGCACTAACTACAAAACGAAAAAGTATGCTATTGCGTTCATCTGAACGAATATATTTTATATCCATTCTAGGTAATGAAAACACTGCAAAAATTAAATCCACCAATTGGACACCCAACCACTATTATTTTTAAAATTTTAAATAAGTGACAATTTTGTCATACTAATTGTCAGTATATATTTTAGTTATTGAGATTAAATATATATTAAAATGAGCTATTTTTGTGTAGAATCTATAAATAATTGCATTTTTCTACACCCACATGGATATTAGCTTATCTACGCACAGATTACAAAATGAAAAAGTATGTTATTGCCTTTAACTGAACGAATATATTTCATATCCATTCTAGGTAGTGAGAATACTGCAAAAAAAATGAAATCCGCCAATCACCGTTTATATTTTGATCAACCGACTGCTATTATTTTTAAAATTTTAAATACCTAAGTGACAATTTTGTCAAACTAATTGTCAATATATTTTTTTAGTTATTGTAATTAAATATACATTAAAAAGGGTTATTCTTGTGTAAAATCGATAAATAATATTTCTGTTTTTATTTCATCTATAATTATAATAATTTGTTAATTAAAATAAAACTATATGAAGTAAATATAATTACGAGTATTAAAGCAATAAAATTAAAAGAATAGGTTGTCCTGTGGTGAGCGTTCTTGCCTTCCACACTGAAGACTCGAGTTCTATTCTCGAATGAATGAAATGAATTTTTCTTTTTTTTTTTCGTGTTTTATTTTAAAAATTATTAAAAGTCATAAATTATTTTAAAATTAGTTATTTTGTCTAAATAACCTAAAATATTTTTTAAAATTTGTAGATTTTCGTTAGTGAATCATAGAAAAATTATACTGTATAACTCGAGTGTATTGTCCATATCCACTCTTGTTACACAATAACAGATTGTGCAAAAAACCGCTCATACATTTTATATAAATTGGCAGGCTTGGCGACTATTATTTCAAATAAAAATAGGGGCTAAGAAGTAAGGCTATGTCGCAATCCCCTTCCCACTGGCAACTTTTGTTTGACACATCGTTGGAATGCATCATGATACAAAAATTACAGAGGTATGATACTTAGCCTACGAAATCTCGTCGTTTTCGCGCATGACGTCTTGTAGTGTAGAATATGGTTATCTGATTGGCCATAAGCAGATTAAAATTTATAATTGCACGCTGTTTTCGATACATCAAATTTCACCACAATACGTCACCGTGACGTATAGTATTAATCGGCGTAATATCATACCTTCTTTTTATAGTATCATGGGAATACATAATGCTTCTAGATGTGTATTCGCTCCGTACGTGACATCAGCACAAATTAATTTATGAACTAATGGACGATTTTTTCGTATAGTGACAATACAATTATTAATAGAATTTGTAATTAAAAAATATATATGTTGCTGTTAATAGAAGTATATGGATTTTTAAAACAAGTAAAAAAAATATTTTATTATTTCACTAAGTTGGAACCACATGAAAAACTTCTTTATTATTGGTTTTGTGAAAAAAATTATTCTGGATAAAAAGTTCTGCATGGTCCAACTTAAAATGCAACTATCAGATATCAATTTTTTTAAGCCCTATACGAGGTTTGTAAAAAAATATGATTTTAGCTGAATAATAAAGTATTTTTGACAAACCTCGTATACGACTGATAAAATTTGATATCCGATGGGTGTATTTTAGAGCATGCTCGACCTTTTTTATAAGGAATAACTTTTTTCCGGTCTTTTTAATCTAAGGTCACACTATAGGTGTTCCATTTTTTACCAACAAATGTGAAATTTTCGGGATTTTAAGCAAACTATAGTAAATCTAGAATTTTGAGATATTTGCTGGCAAAAAAATATGGGACACGCTGTAGGTATTTTTAAAATATATTTTGTACTATTACATTTAATTTCAGGTATCTTATTTTATAATACCACCTCTTGAACTAGTTAATCCTGCCGATGTTCTGGAGAATGGATGTGAATATAAAGTAACGGTGGAGAGCGAGGACCACAATCAAAATTTATTGCAGACTCTAAATTACAGAATCCCAGGTAATGTTTGTAGTAATAAACTTTTTTTTGAAACAACGTTGCAAACATTTTTTATTTGGTAAGGAATTTTAAAATCTATCTGATTATCACAAATCAATCTTTACTGTAATTATTATTACACACAATATTTATTCTCTCATGAATTTATAAAATTTAATAATAAACACATATGTATCTTGTTTATTTGGTTTAGAAATTAAATTAAAATACAAATGTTTAACTGATAACAAAAAATATCGACTCGATTATTTTGAACATCTCATTAAAACGAGATATTGATTCATTAAAACGGGATATTGATTATTCGTTTGCCTGCCTGTATTGTTTTCTCGCCACAGAGAAAACTATTCTTACTAGCGACATCTTAGGCTTAGAAATCACTAGGGTTAGTTTTATTAAAGTGGTTTTCTACAAGTACAATCAAAACTCGGTTTCAAATCAGATCTAACAAACTCTAAAGAAATTAAGTAAGAAGCGAAACGTGTGTTTCCGTTTAATGTTTCGAACAGACAGTTGTACCTTAATCAAAACTGTCTACCATTCCGTGCTCAACAGCAAAAGTGTTCAGACGTGTTTTTTGATATCTTGCCTTTTTGCAATATTACATAAACTTTATAGTTAAAGAGTTAGTGGATTTGTGGGATTTACCGAAACTGTAAGTCACCTTTTGCTAGTCTTTATCTATTAATAAGTTTTTCCACAAAAACTTATACCGATTGCAATATTGTATCTAAATATTGTGAAGATTCGGCAGGTCCGTACTCAGGCTGGAAAATATGAGTAGAGTTGAAAATATTTGACCTGATTAAAACAAATATAATATACAGATGAATTCACGTCAAATAGTAGCTCCTGACAATAGGGGCAACCGAAGTAATTCCTCAACCAATGTCCTGTACTCAAGCATTGTCACTCGTTTTTCATAATCAAATAAGAAAAAGGTATTTTGTTTCCATCTATTGAAAATATGCAAATCCAAGACTACATATTTACCCTTGGAGCATTATTTCAACCGAATAATATTATATTTTGTTCAAAAATATCCAACGGCAGAATATGTGCATACCTAACCAATAAGCAATGTGTTGATGATTGTCTAACTAATGCATCAATTAATATTAAAGGAAAATTAATTTATGGACGAAAACTTGTCACCCCAATAACACGTTTACTTCTGTCTAATGTCTGCCCAACCATACCTCATGCGATTTTGGAAAAGAAACTCAAGCCAGTTTGTCCAATTACTTTTTTAAAAGTTGGAATATCCGCATCTACTTAGTTTCCGCAGACAAACATATCTATCTCCCAATGATAATATTGTTATACCCGATTCAATAATCAAAGATTATCAAGATACTTCCTACAGAATTTTTCTTTCTCTCAACCTTAACTGCTTTAAATGCAAGGAGACAGGCTACGTTGCCTCCAATTGTCCAAAAAATCCAGTATTGCTTCCCCAAAATTGAAGCTCTCAGCCGCATACAAATAATCAGCCTATCTTATCTCAAGATCTATGAAAAAGCCCATCACTATCCCAAAACATAAGTTTTTTTTCCTAATATAAATAACCCCCCTAGTTTCTCCACTCACAGTGAACCAATCAATTCGGCTACACATGGTATCGACACCAGCCAACAACAACCCGAAGTTAATGATCAAATACCATCTGACATGGAACTGACCGAAAATAATCCCCTGAGACCATCTAGCGCTGTTCTTTCATCTGCTGCGACCAGTTCTACAGATGAAGGTCCATTTCCAAAACAGAAGCTATAAAAAACAAGAAAAATAGCTATGGAAAATCAAATTACGCTTCTTCTCTCGCTTCGGTCAATAAATTTATCGAAAAAACTGAACCGAAATGTATTGTTACGCAGCACCTTGCAGCGTGCTGCAGTCGTCATAAGTAAAGGTACGAGTAAAAGAAGAATGGGGAGTATTCGAGAAATGTCATTCCACGTCAAGAAAAAATGAACAGTTTGAGCTTAGACCTAGTCTAAGAGTTTAAGTAGGTTCGAGAAGGTTCGAAAAGGTGAAACCAAGCTATAAGTCGGTGATCCTGACGTCAGGCAGTCAGTTTTATGATAGACGTTATACGTTAATGTTATCAGTTGTATAGTTATTGTAAAAGTTGAGATGAAATAAATTGAGATACCAAAAACCAGTGTAACATTGGTGACAGCGGTGGGATACAAAATAAAAGTTAATGGTAAATACTAGATCCTCTGAGTACGAAACAGATATGGATCCTTCAGGCCCACCAGCATGGTTTTTGAAGATGGAAGAGGAAAAGAGAAGGTACCGTAAGGAGAAAGATAAGGAAAAGGAAAGGCGTAGAAAGGAAGAAGAGAAGGAACAGGAAAGGCGCAGGAAGGAAGATGAGTAAAAGGAAAGGCGTAGGAAGGAAGAAGAGGTGGAAAAGTAAATGCGTAGAAAGAAAGAAGAAGAGAAGAGGGAAAAGCGAGAACAGAAGAAGGAGAAGAGGCATAGAAGAGCCGAGATGGAGATTTAAAATGACTTGCTGTAAATTAAAGAAAACCTTAAACAAGAAGTAGATCAACTAAACAGTCGAATAGATCTCTTAGCATAACAACAAGAGAATTTAAAAATTAATTTAAAACAACAAGAAAAGGCTAGAATAGAATTATAAAGGCAAATTAAAACTGAACTAGTTGAATTAGAAAGAAAAATTCGTAGCCTAGCTTTGGCAAGCAACAGAGAAACTGGAAACACTACCTCGTCCTTATCTATAACCGAACCCAGTTTCCCAAAGCCATACTAGCAAGACTATTAAGACACCCACGTTTGACGGTCAAACAACATGGGAAACGTATCGACTCCAATTTTAAGCTGCAGCTAGAGCCAATGGCTGAACCATTGATAGTGTCGTTGCGTGGATAAGCAGCAACCGCTTTACAGTTACTTTCCCAAGAAGAACACAGTTATTCATCTCTCGTCCAAGCTTTGAAAACAAGATATGGCCAGCAGCATTTGAAACGGGTATTCCAAAACGAGCTAAAGGTTCGTAGTCAGAAACATAATAAAAGTCTACATGAATTCGAGGCCGACATAAGAAGATTGATTCATCTGGTCTATTCACAGGTGCTAAAAGATTTCCAAGAATAAATCAGGCATTTATTGATGGACTACAAGATGCAGAAATTCAGCAAGCCCTTCGTCTACAATATCACAATACGCTGAGGGAGAAACTGATTGCAGGCCAGGAATATGAAGCGGTAAAACTTCTTTCCAGATCTTTTCAAACAAGAATGAGAGAAATTAAATTCCAGGAAAGTAAGGAGGCCAATACTAATGATATCCCCCAGCCTAACCTCTCACAAATCCTAAATATCCTGCAAAATATGCAACGAAACAGCCAAAATGGAAGCAGAAGATGCTTCGGTTGCAGAAGAATTTGTCACCTTCAAAAAACCTGTAGGAGCAGTGCTCGTTCTATAAATTGAGAAAGAGAATAAGGCCGGAAAGTTACATAGATCAATCTTTCGAAATAGTCACAGCACCTATGCGTCCCGAAGAAGCCAATCATCCACACCGAGCCGGCCCAGGAAGTAGAGCATTAAAGAGGTCGTCTTCATAGCAATGCAGACATTCTCTCCGGGCAGCCCTGTATAGAGCGACAATGCCGGTACAGTAAAAGGCTCGAAGAACGAGAAGAACCGGTTGATAAAGTTACTCTTCGGGCAATCACTATCAAGCCAGAGGGCGACGATGAAGAAATCACTCTTGAAAGCCTAAGAAAGGGGCAGAAAAAAGACAATGACTTACAGGTTGTCCGGGATGGCTCAAAAATAAAGTGACATCTACTTGGCAAGAGATAGCCAAATACTGGAGCTATTAAGGGTACTGGACTCAGTGGGATTTCCTGTATCTTCACGATGGCCTATTGCACCGGAAGTAGAAGAGACCCGATGGAGTACATGTAGCCTGCCAAGTGGTACTGCTGAAATCTCATATCAGAAGTGTGTCAGAGGAGGGAGTTTCATTGCAGCCATTCGGGAGGACATTTTAGTACTAAAAGGACACTGGCACGACTTCAGGAAATATTTTATTAGGTTAATTTCCGACGGGATGTAGCGGATTAGTGTAAAAAATGTGATGTATGCAATGGTAGGACAAATGTCTACGGATTCGCACTCTTGGAAATCTGGATCCCCTAGTTGTAATAAAAAAATACACTAATAATTTCAAAGACCTATTCGTCAAGTACGGAAATATCTTTAGGTTGGTATAGAATTAGCCTCAAATGAGCCTAAAATAATGTCGTACCCATTTTTAGTTTTCTCAAATTTTTTAATGAAAACTCTATAAACTCATACTGTCAAGCTAGCAGAGTACTTAATTTTTCTTATAAAGAAGGAAATAGTTTTTTTAGATTAGTATAAGACTAGTTTACAATAAGTATTAAATTATAGCGTAATCAAAATTTGAAAAATCCAAAGGTATCACCTATTTTTTCCCATAAAGGGTATGTAGGTATAAAATGAGCCTAAACTTATGGAATACTCAGAAGGGAGTCACCGTTAATATACCAAAAATGTTTAAAAAAGTTGTGGTGTGCGAAAGAGTTAAATTATTTTGGAATAAATTGTATAATATACGTATTATTGCATTTCAGATTGCGTTGAAGACAAATGTAAATGTAATCCAAAAAATGTTCCATATCAGATCAGCAGCATCACTCGAATGCATGACGATGTTTATTTTATGAGCTGGGATAAAAAATTAAACATCAGTTTGATGATTATCGACATTTCCTAGTAAGTAAATAGTACCTAGATATGTGTTTCGATATTTTATTCAATAATCTTCTATTTAGCTTATCTGAAATTGATAAAAAACTATATAGCTTCCACGTAAAAATATTTACATTTGTCGTATATGTTTCAATAATCAAATATGATGCTTGTTTGCTAAAATACAGGATACATCGTTGTATTTTTTCACTAAGTCACTTCGTTTTTTATCATTTAGAAAATCATACTGAACTATTTGTGCAGGGTGTACCCCAAGTTGATATTTATTTTGATTGTGTGTAGAAATCATTAAAATATATAAATTTTTCAAATAACTTTTTTAAATAACTTTTTCAAATAACTTTTTCAAATAACTTTTTCAAATAACTTTTTCAAATAACTTTTTCAAATAACTTTTTCAAATAACTTTTTCAAATAACTTTTTCAAATAACTTTTTCAAATAACTTTTTCAAATAACTTTTTCAAATAACTTTTTCAAATAACTTTTTCAAATAACTTTTTTAAATAACTTTTTCAAATAACTTTTTCAAATAACTTTTTCAAATAACTTTTTCAAATAACTTTTTCAAATAACTTTTTCAAATAACTTTTTCAAATAACTTTTTCAAATAACTTTTTCAAATAACTTTTTCAAATAACTTTTTCAAATAACTTTTTCAAATAACTTTTTCAAATAACTTTTTCAAATAACTTTTTCAAATAACTTTTTCAAATAACTTTTTCAAATAACTTTTTCAAATAACTTTTTCAAATAACTTTTTCAAATAACTTTTTCAAATAACTTTTTCAAATAACTTTTACAAATAACTTTTTCAAATAACTTTTTCAAATAACTTTTTCAAATAACTTTTTCAAATAACTTTTTCAAATAACGTTTTCAAATAACTTTTGCAAAAAACTCAAATAAACTTACATTAATTTATTTCAAATAGTATCCAAGACGGATCTATCCAATTAAAAATATATTCCCAATCCACTTCAACGTAATAGAAAAATCGTCATGGTTGTCATAATTTATCATACTGAACAATTTAAATTTACTATTCCAGATAAACACTGAAATCACACGCGAATGAATTACAATAACCTATAGACAATGAAGCGTGATTCTTAAGAAAAATAGAAAAAATATAGAAACATAACTTTTCACACACAAGTGCAGGCCAATTTAGAATTTTTAATTCTGTATCTTTCTTATTTTTGAGTTTTTGAAAAAAGTATTTTACAAAATGTTTATTTTAATGACTTCTATACATGGTTAAAAAAAGGATCAACTCAGCATAATACCCTGTATAAGTCCCCTATAGTAGGTATTTAAACAAATATTTAAAAGTGCAAGCTATCACATTTATTTTTAAATAACAACTTTAATGATAAAACATTTCATTGGTGAAATACTCTATTTGGTAAGAAGTTTAATCTGTTGTTGGTCTTACAAAACTCGGCGTAATTTACGAGAGTGACCTCCTTAAGCGTTCATCTGTATTGACGGTAAATTTGTCTAAAAGGAGATACCTACCCCATTACCTGGAACATCAAAACTGACAATTAAGTCGCCTCTAATTCGTCTGTAATCTAAGTAAACTTGCGCGAGTAGAAAATAGTGATTGCAAGTTATGTGAGGAGCAGTTGTTTTGTCTCAGTCCCGCAAACGTCAATGTTTAGTTTGTCAAAAAAATTAACCAAAATCGTTTTGGTTGTTATACATTGTAAATGAAGAATCGACATCACTTTCGACTTCATCTTACGGAAACAAAGAAAATGTTCTATATAAAAAAATCTTTTTATATTGTTAAATAATCTTTTCAAATACCACGCAAGGTGAGAATAAATTTTGTTGTTTCCTTACAAATTATGCAAATTTCACTTAACAAAATTTTGTTTCTTGAAATTTAGACCCCTAATTTCCAAAGAATCAACAAAATATTCTCACTTCTGATGGCATTACCCTTGTAAATTTCACGCTATTAATGTTCAACTAATAAAATACAAGCATTCCTTAACATTGCCATGGTGTATTTTTGAGAAATTTTCTCTTGCTGGGATCTTCGACCATATATTACTGGAGTTATCGTCCAAATTGTTAGAACTGTCATTTTGTTTTTGGTTTTCATTATTCTTGAGTTTGTTTTTGCAGTTTATAAGTGATTTTATTAATATAAATAAAAAGTTTCCTGATTTTTTCGGTCAAATAGTTTTTCATAATTTAAGCACTACATATGTTTCGGAAAACAGAATTTTTCCATTTTCTGGTGCAGTCAATTTGAGCAATCTATATAACTATATATGTATCATTGGGCCTGTTGTTTTTGACATCAGGTTTTCCCATTGGTCTGGCAAACCTGGGGATACCACATGTGTAAGTTCAAAGTGAGATCGGTCCCCCAGGGACCTCCAATATTGTGAGTCCAATTTATCAATTTATAGGTTATCTTTCTAGTGTCATTTTTGTAATTTAATTTTTATTTGTGTCTAAACGATTTTTGAGTGTTAGAACTTTATAATGATGTATAATTCGTTCCTTCGCTATAAATATTCGTCTAAGTAGAAAATTGACTGGAATAACCTTTCGTAGGTTAATACAAAAATTATAAATATTTTACAGGACAGTATTATGGCAAATTATGTAAAAGTATGCTTTTAAACATACAACAAATATCATCCATCAAATTCTGAGCCTACCTGTATTGGAATAATCCTTTTTCATACAATTCTGAGCCTACCTGTATTGGAATAATCCTTTTTCATACGAAATAATATTAATAGATTTCCGAAAAATTCTAAAAATCGAAAAGCGTGGTGACAATTTGCATACAGGCATAACCGGGAACATTACCAATTCGGCGTCATATGTTCCAAGAATTTTCTTTATGACCTTTGCTCGATTTAGAGATTTTCATTTGAATAGTTTTGTAAAAGATATTTTAGGTACATTACTACTCAGTTTAAAATTAAAAAGTTTTGAAGAGAATACATAGATATACAAATATATTTTCTTGCGGGTTATATCTATTCGAAAATATTCAATTAATTTTTTTAGAAAAATAGATTATGTTGGATTTTGAAAATTAAAATCCACCTGCACGACTTAATTGTAACTCTACTCTGTACAATTATAAAATATTTTCCTATTTCTCTTTTCCGCGACACGGAGCGGTTCCCGGTTCCCGATTCCCGATCAGTTACTCTCGAACCCAGTACTCACGGCAGTAGTACCCAACTACTCAAATATGATTGGTGTTGTTTTGTGCGCTAGCGGTGAAAACGACTAAAATGTCTATTTTACCAACCCCTATGTATTTTGAATCTCTCTTTTTAACTAATGCTAATAAAATCAGTGCTGAAAGTGACACATAATATGTAAGTTTTTCGACTATTTTTCTTGTATTTACTTTTAAGGAAAATTCGAGTAAACGTGCAGTGTTGCCACGTCTAAGACAATACATTTTTATTATAGTTATATTGTGAGAAGTCCTTCTGACTTCTCTGTTTATTTAAATAAATCATTTAGTATGTGTTTGACTTTTATTCGTGTGAAAGTGGTGAGTTCTACACAAACAATTTGCTCTCTTGTATTGGTTAGGGCGGAAACTTTTCGAAGAAGTAACATCCCTCAACTTTAAATATACAGTCCACTTGCTTTCCACCCTCTCCAATACAGATTAATTTATTATTTTCTATTAATCGATTATTTTCGATTAATCGATTATTTTCGACTAATCGATTATTTTCTATTAATAAATGATTTTCGATTCATCGATTATTTTCGACTAATCGCTAATTTTTTATTAATCGATTATTTTTAACTGTTCAAACATAATTATTTTTTTCGAATTATGGAATAATTAATATAATCTAATGACCGATTAATAATCGATATTAAAGAAAATAGAAAGAAAATAGATTTTCTTTCAGTCCATTAAAAAATGTATTATGGGCAACAAACTGTGATAATTTGGTTGTCTAAAATGAAATGTTTTGCCTTTTTTGTAGCCTTCAAAATGTATACTGGTTAAGTTAAATTTTATAAAAACTTCTTTTTTCAGGGCTTTATTAAAAAACTAATTTTTAGATGTTTGTGTAGCAACCAAATAGCTGAAGATTTCCAACAAATTAGTCATAAAGGGTGATCCAATTTGAATTTCCCATCTTTAAAATGAAATAAAACTTAAAAATTTAGAAAAAAATATATTTTAACTTTAGCAATAGAAAATATTAAGTATTTCATTAAGTATGAAAAATAATATCATTTAAATATCCGCCCCTAGACCTTCTGCAGGAGTCGATCCTTTTTAGATAATTTTCGATGACTTTTTCAAACATTTCGGGCGGTATGTTGGCAATAACTTGGTGAATATAGTTTTTCAGATGATCTAACGTTTCGAGTTGATTGGTTATGGTCCCTAGGCTTCAGCCCTTTTGTTCGCTGAATTTTATATGGGTATAAATGCAAATCCCGATGCAAAATGCGCCAAAGGGAGCCATAAGAAAAGCCTAAAACTTGCGAGCGCCGGCGAATCGACATTCTTGGATTGGCAGCCAGGCTTTCACTAACTGCAGCAATATTTTCAGCTAAACATGCACGACGATGATTCACAAATCTTCTCGTAAACAAAAACACTACTATAATGAGAATATTATCTAAAAACAGTTAAAAAATCACAAAAACCAAAATCCCGCCCAAACTAAACAAAATGTAAATAAACAAATATCCTACTTATAGGTGACAAATGACAGGCGCGCGAAAATTAATTTGAATCGCGAATAGTTCTCCTTTTCTCTACACTTCGTAGAACAGCTTTTGTTGACATGTTAGATCATTAAAATATGCATGGCCTTCTAGATAAAAATAATAATAAGGCGTTATTTGCCCATGAACCTTAGACCGCTCGGTTGCCACAAATATAAAAAAGAAAGTTTAAAATATATTTTACCAGTTTTAGTAATATAAAGCCCATAAAATGTAATATAATTAATAAGATGTATCATTTTTATCAAGCGTTTTCCTTATATATAACAGTATCTCCAATACATATAAAATAAGTTAAGAAGTTACTATACATTCTATTGCTAAAATATAGTTTTCTACCAATTTTAATAAACTAAATTCAATATTAGGAAAGGATATATCAGACATATTAAATCTAGAACTGGTGTTTCTACATTACTAAAATTGGTAAATTGGTAAAGTTTTAACCATTTATAATAGTTGTGAAATTTTCTTACTAAATACCCTTTAAAATCAAATTATATCTAGAAATGTCACACCTATTTGAGCAGATCCTGTCTTGCCAGATCAGCAGTGCCACCTTAAAACCCAATTATCATGGCACAAAACATACAAAAAAATTTCGGTGCTCTATCTCGAGTTAAAAACTTGTATATTGTTTGTTTCAGTTTTAAACAAAATCCTAGAAGAACTTCCCTTATCAAAGTCCGTAAAGAAAATGTAACAGAAGCAGGAGGAAATATTTTATTACCAGGTCTTAACGAGGATGTTAATTATGAAATGAATATAATATATATGGTCGATGGATGTGGGTATGTCTCAAGTAAAGTGTTTTCAGGTAAATGTTATTTCTTACATCAACCTAAAAATTTACTTAATAAACTAATTATTTTTATGTTATCTTTGTAAACATAAATGAATTTTCATTAAATAATACGTGTTTCGACTTAAATGAACCAAATAGAATTAATTATATCTATCTAGGGAAGATCGCTCATAGATGCCATGAACAAATAGTATAAACAGAAAAATCATAGGAACGGGCATTGGACAGAAAATAATAATTATCTATTTCCAACGGTATGTGTCAGCATATGTATTCTGAAAGATGATAGAATTAATCTGAATAATAAAAATAACGATGAGTTTGCCAATTAATTTTAACATCTTATCTTTGTTAAGAGAATTTGTATGAATCGTATTTAATAGCTTGTCCATGCTGTCTACAGATGTAGATTACCCTACTAAAAGAATGTATAATATAAGAAAATAGTTGTTCTATTTTAGTTTTAAATTAAGACGGTGGCTGTTTTAATATTCATTGTTTCTTGTTTTATTTTAGAGTCACTATTTTGAATTTGAATTAATCTACCCCCTAAAATTTCCCTAATACGACTAACTAACTTAACAGTAGCAACTGAAATAGCTTTAACTTTATTTTTTATATCATAATTCCCTTGGCTAAATTCACTCCTATATCCAAATTAAATTGCGTTTCTATTTTATATAACTTATCTAATGAGTTGGTGTTTCTTAACTGTTACGCTTATTTATCGGATCTGTAAGATTCCTTAAAAATACAGTAAGTTTATGTTTTCCTTTAAATGATTCCTTTGACATTTATATCCGACTAGCTTTTGCCCGTGGCTTTGCACGCGTAATAATGTGTTTTTAATTTAAAAAGTGAATGATTATAAATTTTTATTATTTTTTAGTAATTTTTAAATTTCTATTTATTTTTATTTATTATCATTTATTTTTATTTATTTTAATTTATTTTAATTTATTTTAATTTATTTTAATTTATTTTAATTTATTTTAATTTATTTTAATTTATTTTAATTTATTTTAATTTATTTTAATTTATTTTAATTTATTTTAATTTATTTTAATTTATTTTAATTTATTTTAATTTATTTTAATTTATTTTAATTTATTTTAATTTATTTTAATTTATTTTAATTTATTTTAATTTATTTTAATTTATTTTAATTTATTTTAATTTATTTTAATTTATTTTAATTTATTTTAATTTATTTTAATTTATTTTAATTTATTTTAATTTATTTTTATTTATTTTTATTTATTTTTATTTATTTTTATTTATTTTTATTTATTTTTATTTATTTTTATTTATTTTTATTTATTTTTATTTATTTTTATTTATTTTTATTTATTTTTATTTATTTTTATTTATTTTTATTTATTTTTATTTATTTTTATTTATTTTTATTTATTTTTATTTATTTTTATTTATTTTTATTTATTTTTATTTATTTTTATTTATTTTTATTTATTTTTATTTATTTTTATTTATTTTTATTTATTTTTATTTATTTTTATTTATTTTTATTTATTTTTATTTATTTTTATTTATTTTTATTTATTTTTATTTATTTTTATTTATTTTTATTTATTTTTATTTATTTTTATTTATTTTTATTTATTTTTATTTATTTTTATTTATTTTTATTTATTTTTATTTATTTTTATTTATTTTTATTTATTTTTATTTATTTTTATTTATTTTTATTTATTTTTATTTATTTTTATTTATTTTTATTTATTTTTATTTATTTTTATTTATTTTTATTTATTTTTATTTATTTTTATTTATTTTTATTTATTTTTATTTATTTTTATTTATTTTTATTTATTTTTATTTATTTTTATTTATTTTTATTTATTTTTATTTATTTTTATTTATTTTTATTTATTTTTATTTATTTTTATTTATTTTTATTTATTTTTATTTATTTTTATTTATTTTTATTTATTTTTATTTATTTTTATTTATTTTTATTTATTTTTATTTATTTTTATTTATTTTTATTTATTTTTATTTATTTTTATTTATTTTTATTTATTTTTATTTATTTTTATTTATTTTTATTTATTTTTATTTATTTTTATTTATTTTTATTTATTTTTATTTATTTTTATTTATTTTTATTTATTTTTATTTATTTTTATTTATTTTTATTTATTTTTATTTATTTTTATTTATTTTTATTTATTTTTATTTATTTTTATTTATTTTTATTTATTTTTATTTATTTTTATTTATTTTTATTTATTTTTATTTATTTTTATTTATTTTTATTTATTTTTATTTATTTTTATTTATTTTTATTTATTTTTATTTATTTTTATTTATTTTTATTTATTTTTATTTATTTTTATTTATTTTTATTTATTTTTATTTATTTTTATTTATTTTTATTTATTTTTATTTATTTTTATTTATTTTTATTTATTTTTATTTATTTTTATTTATTTTTATTTATTTTTATTTATTTTTATTTATTTTTATTTATTTTTATTTATTTTTATTTATTTTTATTTATTTTTATTTATTTTTATTTATTTTTATTTATTTTTATTTATTTTTATTTATTTTTATTTATTTTTATTTATTTTTATTTATTTTTATTTATTTTTATTTATTTTTATTTATTTTTATTTATTTTTATTTATTTTTATTTATTTTTATTTATTTTTATTTATTTTTATTTATTTTTATTTATTTTTATTTATTTTTATTTATTTTTATTTATTTTTATTTATTTTTATTTATTTTTATTTATTTTTATTTATTTTTATTTATTTTTATTTATTTTTATTTATTTTTATTTATTTTTATTTATTTTTATTTATTTTTATTTATTTTTATTTATTTTTATTTATTTTTATTTATTTTTATTTATTTTTATTTATTTTTATTTATTTTTATTTATTTTTATTTATTTTTATTTATTTTTATTTATTTTTATTTATTTTTATTTATTTTTATTTATTTTTATTTATTTTTATTTATTTTTATTTATTTTTATTTATTTTTATTTATTTTTATTTATTTTTATTTATTTTTATTTATTTTTATTTATTTTTATTTATTTTTATTTATTTTTATTTATTTTTATTTATTTTTATTTATTTTTATTTATTTTTATTTATTTTTATTTATTTTTATTTATTTTTATTTATTTTTATTTATTTTTATTTATTTTTATTTATTTTTATTTATTTTTATTTATTTTTATTTATTTTTATTTATTTTTATTTATTTTTATTTATTTTTATTTATTTTTATTTATTTTTATTTATTTTTATTTATTTTTATTTATTTTTATTTATTTTTATTTATTTTTATTTATTTTTATTTATTTTTATTTATTTTTATTTATTTTTATTTATTTTTATTTATTTTTATTTATTTTTATTTATTTTTATTTATTTTTATTTATTTTTATTTATTTTTATTTATTTTTATTTATTTTTATTTATTTTTATTTATTTTTATTTATTTTTATTTATTTTTATTTATTTTTATTTATTTTTATTTATTTTTATTTATTTTTATTTATTTTTATTTATTTTTATTTATTTTTATTTATTTTTATTTATTTTTATTTATTTTTATTTATTTTTATTTATTTTTATTTATTTTTATTTATTTTTATTTATTTTTATTTATTTTTATTTATTTTTATTTATTTTTATTTATTTTTATTTATTTTTATTTATTTTTATTTATTTTTATTTATTTTTATTTATTTTTATTTATTTTTATTTATTTTTATTTATTTTTATTTATTTTTATTTATTTTTATTTATTTTTATTTATTTTTATTTATTTTTATTTATTTTTATTTATTTTTATTTATTTTTATTTATTTTTATTTATTTTTATTTATTTTTATTTATTTTTATTTATTTTTATTTATTTTTATTTATTTTTATTTATTTTTATTTATTTTTATTTATTTTTATTTATTTTTATTTATTTTTATTTATTTTTATTTATTTTTATTTATTTTTATTTATTTTTATTTATTTTTATTTATTTTTATTTATTTTTATTTATTTTTATTTATTTTTATTTATTTTTATTTATTTTTATTTATTTTTATTTATTTTTATTTATTTTTATTTATTTTTATTTATTTTTATTTATTTTTATTTATTTTTATTTATTTTTATTTATTTTTATTTATTTTTATTTATTTTTATTTATTTTTATTTATTTTTATTTATTTTTATTTATTTTTATTTATTTTTATTTATTTTTATTTATTTTTATTTATTTTTATTTATTTTTATTTATTTTTATTTATTTTTATTTATTTTTATTTATTTTTATTTATTTTTATTTATTTTTATTTATTTTTATTTATTTTTATTTATTTTTATTTATTTTTATTTATTTTTATTTATTTTTATTTATTTTTATTTATTTTTATTTATTTTTATTTATTTTTATTTATTTTTATTTATTTTTATTTATTTTTATTTATTTTTATTTATTTTTATTTATTTTTATTTATTTTTATTTATTTTTATTTATTTTTATTTATTTTTATTTATTTTTATTTATTTTTATTTATTTTTATTTATTTTTATTTATTTTTATTTATTTTTATTTATTTTTATTTATTTTTATTTATTTTTATTTATTTTTATTTATTTTTATTTATTTTTATTTATTTTTATTTATTTTTATTTATTTTTATTTATTTTTATTTATTTTTATTTATTTTTATTTATTTTTATTTATTTTTATTTATTTTTATTTATTTTTATTTATTTTTATTTATTTTTATTTATTTTTATTTATTTTTATTTATTTTTATTTATTTTTATTTATTTTTATTTATTTTTATTTATTTTTATTTATTTTTATTTATTTTTATTTATTTTTATTTATTTTTATTTATTTTTATTTATTTTTATTTATTTTTATTTATTTTTATTTATTTTTATTTATTTTTATTTATTTTTATTTATTTTTATTTATTTTTATTTATTTTTATTTATTTTTATTTATTTTTATTTATT